CCTGTGAGGAATTGCCACCCTCAGGTTTGCCTTATTAAAACATTTATGAGATTGTGAGTTCGAATCCCTGATTGTATCTCCTGTGTGTCATCACAATAATTAAATTTGGAAACAAATCAGTTAATACAACCTCACACATATACTTACTCAACATCAATGCAGGTAATGTTCAAGTGTGTTTCTTATGCGGCCTGAAAGAACATAGACTCACTCACATATTATTGGGGACGGTGTTGTAGCCTAGTGGTTGAAGTGTTCGCTCGTCACGCTGAAGACCCGGGTTCGATTCCCCACATGGGTACAATGTGTGAAGCCCATTTCTGGTGAAGCCGTGATGTTGCTGGAACCTTGCTAAAAGCGGCGTAAAACCCAACTCACTCACTTATTATTGTATTTGTTAATCATGTTTGAGTGTTTCAGACCAGGCCGAGCCCACGGGACTCTGTGTCGGGCTTAATGACGGAAATACTAAAGAATGGGTGAAACTTTCCTGTGGACACCAGTATTGGTATATTTGTAAGAAGAAAGGTATCTATGCTGCAATACCATATTGATAGTTAAATAGAGCATTATGAATACAATCAGTATCAGAGTTCGGACAGATGAGTAATACCTATAGTGTTCCGAATGCATGCTATTATTAGTTAAATTGCAGACGCTAGTAATGAACATTATAATTATAAATATTTTAATTGGCTCTTAATTAGCTGTGAAACCAAACCGATACGAATGACAATTCAGTACGTGTACATATATCAGTAATTTGATACACTGCATAGAGGGGCGGTGGGGTAGCCTAGTGGTTAAAGCGTTGGCTTGTCACGCCGAAGACCCGGGTTTGAATCCCCACATGGGTACAATGTGTGAAGCCCATTTCTGTGTCCCCCGCCGTGATATTGCTGGAATATTGCTAAAAGCGGCCTAAAACCAAAACTCAGTCAGTCAGTCAGTGATACACTGGATAACAGCATAAGATACAGAAAGTGACAAGTGCTCGCTAGCAAGATCTGGTTTGTTACTAGTAATGGAAGGTTATGTGCAGTAATTTGCTAGACTTGTATATTTAATCTGACTGAAGGTAACACGGCGTTATACCAAAAGACGTTAAAATATGGTACTTGTTGGTCCCTGACTGGCGCTCAGCATTATGGGTACAACAAGGACTGGTCGGCTCGGAGTCAGTATAATGTGTCTGAGTGGGGTATCCATGCTTCACTGCAGCATGGTATCTCAGTGGGCTAGCGCTATAAACCAGCTTCAGTTTGGGCTAGTTCAAGCAGCCGCACCTACACATACACACGCATGCAGGTTGTCGTATGAGCGAAATATTCTCAAGCACGACGTTAAACCCAATTTCACCTCACCTCTTGACTGTACATGAATGTACGTTTTGTACTGTTATTACAATTAATACCATTGAAGAATTGATAACAGATGACACACATATGAGTCGTGTTTTATAATGACTTTGGAACTGATATATTTCTTCAATGACATGTATATCAAATATTGGGATGTTAATATACTTACACATATATTCAATAAATTATAAACAGATTAATAATATACTTAATGTACTAAAAGAAGGAATGAGAGAACGAAATAAGAATGACATGTTTGAGAGAGCAGACTGACGTATGATTGACGGATCAAACATGTATGAGAGAGCAGACTGACGTATGATTGACGATGATAATGCATTGTGTGAATATCAGGCATCAGCCGTCTTATGTTTGGAGGATTTCCCACTGAAAATTCTACTAATTCAAATACGGTAATTCCGAGAAATACAGCTAAAAGGAACGTGTGTCAATTCAGAGAATGTCAGTACACAGTGCTTGTTAACACGGTAAGTACATTCTTTATGTGACATATACAAGCTGGTATGATGAAGAGGGAACAGTTTATATGGATAGTAGGGGTGGGTATTGCAGAGAATCTTCATATTGCGATATATTGCGATGCAAAAGCATGTATTGCGATATGTATTGCAATATATTGCGTGAAGTAAAAACTACTTATAATCGAGGTAATGCTTGATTTATAGAGCAAATACACAGCAAAATCACTATGCTTGATTAAGCTTTAATAACAACTTTTATTCGTGATTAAAAAATAAAAATGTGAATAATATTTGGCACAAATGGAAAAAGGAAATATCCGAAGATTTCCGAGTGTTACGAAGTTTTCCGAATGCAAGTCAAAATACCGGTTTTCGATCAGCGTATCGCAATACGTATCGTTTTCATGTCTGAACCGGTAAATACCGGTAAACCGGTTATATTGCGCAGCCCTAATGGATAGACAACGTCTTTATTGTAATAGAGGCGCAGTTTCGGTGTAGATGCTAACGACATCTTTTGCTTGATAACGGTGACACTGGCTATCTTTCGGGGCCGATTAAGAGATTTTAAGTGTTAAAACATCACAACCTTAATATCATTATTATCACTTAACACCTTAATTCGTTTTTGTTTTTTTGTTTTTTTAATGTGTATGTGGTCAGGTTGAGTAATGCAGGTCCAGGTATTCGGGGAGTGATCTTAATCATAATATGAATCGTAATATGGAATCATAACGTGGAATCGTAATATGGAATCATAACGTGGAATCGTAATATGGAATCGTAACGTGGAATCGTAATATGGAATCATAACGTGGAATCGTAGTATGGAATCGTAACGTGGAATCGTAATATGGAATCATAACGTGGAATCGTAGTATGGAATCGTAACGTGGAATCGTAACGTGGAATCATAACGTGGAATCGTAGTATGGAATCGTAATATGGAATCGTAATATGGAATCATAACGTGGAATCGTAGTATGGAATCGTAACGTGGAATCGTAATATGGAATCATAACGTGGAATCGTAGTATGGTATCGTAACGTGGAATCGTAACGTGGAATCATAACGTGGAATCGTAGTATGGAATCGTAATATGGAATCGTAATATGGAATCATAACGTGGAATCATAACGTGGAATCATAACGTGGAATCATAACGTGGAATCGTAATATGGAATCGTAATATGGAATCGTAATATGGAATCGTAACGTGGAATCATAACGTGGAATCATAACGTGGAATCGTAGTATGGAATCGTAATATGGAATCGTAATATGGAATCATAACGTGGAATCATAACGTGGAATCGTAATATGGAATCGTAATATGGAATCATAACGTGGAATCACAATATGGAATCATAATATGTCACAAGAAATCACAACAGATAGTGTTGTGTCGACAGATATATAGTAATATCCAAGAGACTGCCATGTATTTTATACATACCCCTTCATCCTCTTGTGTATCATTGTTCCATGAAATAAGTTGACGAAATCAAATATATGGCACACATAAGTGTAACGACAAGGTGTCAACACGACGGCGTTCAACAACGACACACGTTAACCATATGGTGAAGATTTTAAAGAGGACCAAGACCTGGGGTAAGTATATCATTTCTTCTGCTTGACTGTGTTTAAGATAGCTCAAAGACGTATATACGTCTTTGGATAGCTGGGGCCTATGATATTGAAAGTTTTGAAAAATATAATGCTGTGAAATTTTTACTATGTTTTATTACATAGGTCAAGCCAAAGCGGGGCGGTGGGGTAGCCTAGTGATAAAAGCGTTGGCTCGTCACGCCGAAGACCCAGGATCGATTCCCCACATGGGTGCAATCTGTGAATCCCATTTCTGGTGTCCCCCGCCGTGATATTGCTGTAATATTGGTAAAAGAGGCGTAAAACTAAACTCACTCACTTACTCATGGCAAAGATTTATCTTACTTACAGACAAATGTTTGGAGATAACGGTATATCATATTTCTTCCTCCCCCTGTTATACCGCCTCCGTGGTGTAGTGGTTAGAGCGTCCGCCACGTCATACCAAAAGACGTTAAAATATGGTACTTGTTGGTCCCTGCCTGGCGCTCGGCATTAATGGGTACAACAAGGACTGGTCGGCTCGGAGTCAGTATAATGTGTCTGAGTGGGGTATCCATGCTTCACTGCAGCATGGTATCTCAGTGGGCTAGCACTATAAAACCAGCTTCAGCCTGGGTTAGTACAATCAGCCGCACATGCACATACACACGCATGCACGTCGTCATATGAGCGAAATATTCTCAAGCACGACATTAAACCCAATTTCACCTCACCTCACCTCCTCCCCTGTTGCTATTGATGCGCATATTGCACCTGTATGCATCCACACACCCGTACCACATGTCAGTCAATTTGTTCTAAAACGGCAACGGTTAGGATTAGTTTCCCAGTAACCTCTGCTTGTCGTAAGAGGCGGGAGGTCAGAGTCATTGACTTAGTTGATACATGGTAGTAGTTCGACGCTCATGACAGTCACTGGCTTGTCTGATCCAGGCCGATGCTGGATTATGGCTGAGTGCGGCGTTCAACAAACAAGCAAGCATGACCCTTGTCTATGACGATGCAATTTACAGTTCAGAGTGGCGTGCCTTAGTCATGCCAAAAACAATGATCGTGGATTCGACACGTGGCTGACACATGTCATCAAACTAAGTTTATAACAAACTGAAACTGGTGGGCCCGTTGCGTTCGTTATAACCGGAGTATGTCATCGGTTCCTAATTGCGCAGATCAATGCTCATGCTATTGATCACTGGATTGTCTGGTCCAAATTCTATTATTTACAGACCGCCGACATATATCTGGAATATTGCTGAGTGCGGCGTGAAACTAAACTCACTCACTCACTCACTATAACGATAGTTATATGCAGCTAATGTATATCCAAATAAATGCCAATATCTACTACTAAATGAGTATGCGTGAACGTGTCAAACTGGTATATAATGGGAAAACTTGTATGAAAATGATAGCCAGAGCTTCTCAGCGCACTGCCCTATTTTACAGCACAAAGTTCATAATTATACATGTGATTGCCAGAAGTAACCTAGAACAAGCTATGTATGTCAACCTTATCTTTGAGAGATATACATGTACATGTATATAGTGTGGAGAAGGCCAGGTTCTAACATGGCTCACATTACGACTGTTGTGTTCGCCATAGTCAGTACCGCTGCTGTTTATGGCGTGAGTGTTTCTTGCTCTGTCTTGCCCTCCCCCAAATACTATGTTTTCTTTGTGCAAAGACGGCACCACTCCTGCTTGTGGCGTTCCATTTATCGTTCTACAGGCACTGTTACTCGGAAAAGCGCACCACTGTCGTACCACAGTTTACCTAATTAGGTGCCACTGTGCAAATCAGCATTTTACATTTACTTCGTAAATTGATTCATAAAGACATGCTCTGTCATCGTATCGCATGGTTACAATCACTGGAATGTCTGGTCCAGACTCGATTTGGTTATAACAACATCGTACAGCTGTAATACAGCTGAAACAAATATATGCTCATGATAGCTTCACAGCTGTACAATCGACTCTGCTTTTAGCAGAGATTTCTTATGTATGTGGAAAGGGTTTTGTCGCTTCTATTCACAGTGTGACTACACGGTTACATTAAGAAAGTGGGAAATATGTAACATATGTTACATTTGGAATACACGTTCTCAGTAAATTAGAGAATCGGGGCTCTGGCTGTCATTTTCATACAAGTTTTCCCATTATATACTAGCTTGACACGTTCACGCATACTCATTTAGTAGTAGATATTGGCATTTATTTGGATATACATTAGCTGGATAAATCTATGGTTATAGTGAGTGAGTGAGTTCAATTTTACGCCGCACTCAGCAATATTCCAGCTATATGGCTGCGGTCTGTAAATGATCGAGTCTGGACCAGACAATCCAGTGATCAATAGCATGAGCATTGATCTGCACAATTAGGAACCGATGACATACTACGGTTATAACGAAAGCAAAGGGCCCACCAGTTTCAGTTTGTTATAAACTTAGTTTGATGACATGTGTCAACCACGTGTCGAATCCACGATCATTGTTTTTGGCATGCCTAAGGCACGCCACTCTGAACAGTAAATTGCATCGTCACAGACAAAGGCCATGCTTGTTGTTTGTTTGGATCAGACAATCCAGTGACTGTCATGAGCGTCGAACTACTACAATGTATCAACTAAGTCAATGACCCTGACCACCCGCCTCTTACGACAAGCAGGGGTTACTGAAAGCTAATCCTAACCGTTGCCGTTTTAGAACAAAGTGACTGACATGTAGTACGGATGTGTGGATGATAAGAGTCCTATCCGGGATTCTGTGATCTAACCCACTCAGCCTCCTGGGCTCCTAAAAATGGGCGTCTGACAACTAGCAGACAGACATACTCAGAGAGTGCGGGTTTGAATCCCGGATGGGACTCAGCCCCCCAAAAGCACGAGAATCTGTACTTTACTGAGAAAGTGTAATCCTAAATATGGCATATGTTACTGCAATATTGACTGTGTCGACGTCTCTCGTGTGCCCTCGTACGTCATATATGACCTTGGAATTAATCGCCCTACAAATAAGTCGACCACAGGTCGCAGTCATTTTTACTTCTTCCTCTACATTCGAAGGACAAGATTTGGTGATAATCCTGTTTGACCTCTATATGATGAAATTAATTATTATATCTTCTAGGAACTGTCAAAAACGTTATCCCCTTGTTTACGACTAATAGCCTGTTCGTTTTAACACTTGCATCATTAAGACATAAAAAAATGGGATTCTTTGCTCATGTGAAAAACGAACATGTGACAAAAGGGCTCACGGAAGTAGAGCGACTAACGGGATCGGGTGGTCAGGCTCGTTGACTTGGTTGACACATGTCATCGTATCCCAGTTGTGTAGATCCTGATCACTCGATTCTCTGGTCCAGACTCGATTATTTACAGACCGCCGTCATATAGCTGGAATATTGCGGAATGCGGCGTTAAAAAACAAGCAAAAACAAAACGTAACAGGTGTGTAAACTTGGATCTCAGTTAATTCTCATTGACAATACAGTTAACGATAAACGGTAGATGTAGTCCCCAAGGTAACTCCATACTGTCGTTACTCTGATTTAATACACTATGATGTTGTAGTGGATGATAAACACTTAACGATAAACGGCAGATGTAGTCACTAAGGTACCTTCATACTGTCACTACTCTGTTTTAATACATGTTGTAGTGGACTAAAACAGTTAACGATAAACGATTATAGATACAGTCACCACGGTATCTTCATACTGTCGCTACTCTGTTTTAATACATGTTGTAGTGGACGATAAACGGTAGATGTAGTCACCACGGTATCTTCATACTGTCGCTACTCTGTTTTAATACATGTTGTAGTGGATGATAAACACTTAACGATAAACGGTAGATGTAGTCACCACGGTATCTTCATACTGTCACTACTCTGTTTTAATACATGTTATAGTGGACTAAAACAGTTAACGATAAACGATTATAGATACAGTCACCACGGTATCTTCATACTGTCGCTACTCTGTTTTAATACATGTTGTAGTGGACGATAAACGGTAGATGTAGTCACCACGGTATCTTCATACTGTCGCTACTCTGTTTTAATACATGTTGTAGTGGACTATAAACAGTTAACGAAAAACGGTAGATGTAGTCACCACGGTATCTTCATACTGTCACTACTCTGTTTTAATACATGTTGTAGTGGACTAAAACAGTTAACGATAAACGATTATAGATACAGTCACCACGGTATCTTCATACTGTCGCTACTCTGTTTTAATACATGTTGTAGTGGACGATAAACGGTAGATGTAGTCACCACGGTATCTTCATACCGTCGCTACTCTGTTTTAATACATGTTGTAGTGGACTATAAACAGTTAACGATAAACGGTAGATGTAGTCACCACGGTATCTTCATACTGTCACTACTCTGTTTTAATACATGTTATAGTGGACTATAAACAGTTAACGATAAACGGTAGATGTAGTCACCACGGTATCTTCATACCGTCGCTACTCTGTTTTAATACATGTTGTAGTGGACTATAAACAGTTAACGATAAACGGTAGATGTAGTCACCACGGTATCTTCATACTGTCACTACTCTGTTTTAATACATGTTATAGTGGACTATAAACAGTTAACGATAAACGGTAGATGTAGTCACCACGGTATCTTCATACTGTCGCTACTCTGTTTTAATACATGTTGTAGTGGACGATAAACGGTAGATGTAGTCACCACGGTATCTTCATACTGTCGCTACTCTGTTTTAATACATGCTGTAGTGGACGATAAACAGTTAACGATAAACGGTAGATGTAGTCACTACGGTATCTTCATACTGTCACTACTCTGTTTTAATACATGTTGTAGTGGACTATAAACAGTTAACGATAAACGGTAGATGTAGTCACCACGGTATCTTCATACTGTCGCTACTCTGTTTTAATACATGTTGTAGTGGACTATAAACAGTTAACGATAAACGGTAGATGTAGTCACTACGGTATCTTCATACTGTCATTACTCTGTTTTAATACATGTTATAGTGGACTATAAACAGTTAACGATAAACGGTAGATGTAGTCACTACGGTACCTCCATACTGTCACTACTCTGATTTAATACATGTTATATTGGACTATAAACAGTTAACGATAAACGGTAGATGTAGTCACTACGGTACCTCCATACTGTCACTACTCTGATTTAATACATGTTATATTGGACTATAAACAGTTAACGATAAACGGTAGATGTAGTCACTACGGTACCTTCATACTGTCACTACTCTGTTTTAATACATGTTATAGTGGACGATAAACAGTTAACGATAAACGGTAGATGTAGTCACTGCGGTATATCCATACTGTCGCTACTCTGTTTTAATACATGTTGTAGTGGACGATAAACAGTTAACGATAAACGGTAGATGTAGTCACTAAGGTACCTCCATACTGTCGCTACTCTGTTTTAATACATGTTGTAGTGGACACCCCTGGGTATTGGAGTAGCATATGAAGATTATGGATTTGGAAGTGAGTATTTCCCCATGTATAATACCTTACTGGTTTTACGTAACGAATACTTTTATTCGGCGAATTGTTTCAAGAGGATAATAATTTGGTACATGTTATACGCCTCAGTCAGCATTCTCTAACGGTATGGCGAAGCATTTTTCACTTCGGTGCATAGAAGCAGTGGGGTAGCCTAGTTGTTTAAGCGATCGCTCGTCACGCTGAAGACTCGGGATCGATTCCCTACATGGGCACATTGTGTGAAGCCCATTTCTGGTGTCCCCGCCGTTATATTGCTAGAATATTGCTAAAAGCGGCGTAAAACCCAACTCACTCACTCACTCGGGGCATAATTTATGTTATACCAAACCACCCTGACTTTCCCAGTTACATTTCCCCACGCACACACAACAAAGGATTTTATCGTGGCTCCTTACTGGACTTGATGATATCCTTTGTCGTATGCAGCAATTGACTTCCAATGAATCCTCGACTCCTGAGAGTCTCTAGGACTTCAGTCCTGCCTCACAACGAAGCATATGCGATACATGTGGTCTCACCTTAGGCAAGCGAGTTTATTCACAGTTGCCTCTGTTCAATCAATCAATCAATCTATATTTACAGCACTGCAGAGGCCGTAGGCCTATAGTACATTTTACATACATACAGTAGCAGAGGGTGCAATATAAAAGAATATATAGTAAATAATATCACATCTGTAATGCAAAGGATCTCATATTCACGGCATGGTGTATATACATTGCGAGTTATTGTGTGGCTGTTTGATTTTGGGATGCCTTGAGGGTATAGAATTTGTCTTTTCGGGGGTTCAAGTAGAAATATTTCTTTATGTATTCTTTTCTGATATTTGCATACAATGGACAAACAAGCAAGAAGTGATATTCATCTTCTACCTCCTGATAAGTACAATATTTACACAATCGTTTTTCCCGTGGTATCTCTAAATGCCTACCTTTTTCTATTAGAAGATCATGGGAACTACATCTGAAACGGGCTAATGCTGTTCTGAATTTCTTAACATTAATGTCTAGATAAAAAAAATTGTGTTTAAAACAGGAATAATGGTTTAACTTAATGTGTAAACGTAGTGAAAAATGCCACTTTTGAAAATACATATCTTGTAGCTTTTGTGTTAAATCATATATAAAATGCTCTGGTGCTGTTACATTTTGTTCTCTCAAGATGTAATCATAGCCGCAAGACTGAAGTATCTTTCTGACACCAGAGGTCCAGTTATTTTTACCTCTATCATCGTAAAGCATCATAATGTTATAACATGTTTTGGGGAATCTGGTGCTGGGCATTTTAAGCAATCTGTTCACCCAGCAGAAAATGGGTACCCGACTATTAACCTTCTAGCGCCTCACAGATTCAGCTTGGGTTATCTGGGGAAATAATAATCAGATTGTGCGCTTTTAGCTGGATATGAGACCTGGAAAGGCGCACTATAAATATTCATATATATTAATTATTATGTCCAACTTGATTTTCTGGTCCATAAAACACTTGATTGTCTGGTTTGGTTACAGACCGCCGTGGCAGGGTACGGCGAACACTGGTGTTTCATGCATATCATTTTCACAGCTGTTTGGTCCATTACACAAGACGGAATGTGTTTTTGAGGATAGCCAAGACGAGGAATTCGTTTGGACTGACGTTATACCTTTATCATTAACAAGGTCCTATATCTATCTATAAGTGTCACAGCGCAGCTGCAATACCATAAACCGCGGGATCTCATAAGAACATCGGTGTTTTGTACCAGTGAGTCAGTGCAGTTTCACGCCGCTTTTAGCAATATCCCAGAAATATCACGAAAAGAGACCTGAAATGGGTTTCACACATTGTACCCCACCCGGGTCTTTGGTCTGACTAGCGAACGCATTTATCCACTAGGCTAACCCCCCGCCGTCGAGCCTTGTCAATCGCATTACTTTAATCTCGTAAATTTCATTACTTTAGGCAATTTCTCAATGACTAGTACCGTTGTTTGTTTACTGCAAAAATACAAACCCTTTACGACGGAAGCAAATGATGCAGTTTGGGGCATCAACGTAACATACCAACAAATACTATCACCTTATTAAACTTGTATTCATACCTTCCTTGCAATTTTAGAAAACGTCCTGCTGTGTTACGGTGGATACGGGGTAACGGATACGGTGGCCCGTGACTGGGCCGACCGGCTGGTGACTCACTCCGATCTCAAGGGTCTGGCAGTGGGGAAGGTCTATGCAGTGAAGGGACCTCAGGATTCCTTGTACAACGCCAAGGAGATTTCAAACTCCAAGCTGGTACAGTGAGTAGCAACACCAACGTCCTGTCCTTAACGTGTGAGTGAGTGAGTTTAGGTTTACGCCGCTGTCACCAATATTCCAGCAATATTCTGGCGGGGAACACCAGAAACGGGCTGCGCCAATTTTTACCCATATGGGGAATCGATCCCGAGTCTTTGGCGTGACGAACAAACGCTTTAACCACTCGCATTACGAAAGGCCATCGAGTTTGAAATGTGTTTCGAGTGTCTCGTCTTTTGCAGGCACCTGCTGACGCACCAGAGGCCAGGCTTTGTCGCTGTGGTGGCCCATTCCAGTGGAGCGTTTGTAGCCAATGAATTCTTCAGTCAGCTGGCAGCCAATGACATAAACAGACAGTTTGATCAGAAAATATTTTACTACAATTTGGATGGTGCTGGTAACATCGCAACAACGTTTTCATTTTTCGTGCTAATAAAAGAATTCATTCGTGAAAGCTGTGTGATTCTGGAAGTAGACGAGTCGCGAATCGTGCCCCGTTCACAGCGGACATTTTATCAATTATTCTTCTGTCTTTGCGCAAAGAAATTAGCAACATGTTTGACACACCACGATGTTTTGTATTTATACAAAGTGAAATCTTATAGATATAACAGGGGATTCTTTGACCAAAGTACTTTTCAGACACATGCATTCTCATTGCATATTTGTTTGTGTTGCTCATGTGCTGCTCAGGTGACGAGTGAAATTATAGCATTATTTTATTATTTGTGTTCATGTAATTTTATACTACAGATATCAGTATCGTTTTGTATCATGACCTTTCGATAGACACGTATTGTGACACAGATTATTACGATGATGATTTGTGTGTTTGTTGTTTAACGCCACACTCAGCAATATTTCAGCTATAAATAATCGAGTCCGGACCAGACAATCCAGTGATCAACAGCATGACAATATGCATCGATCTAGGTAATTGGGATGCTATGACATGTGTCAGTCAAATCAGCGAGCCTGACCACCCGATCCCGTCAGTCGCCTCTTACGACAAGCACGGGCTACTGAAGATCAATTCTAACCCGGATCTTCACTGGCTGAACACTTGGTGGTGAACCATTTGTGCTGTACACATCAAGAGAATAGCTGATGTAAAGACACGGATGACTTGTCTCCAGTTGTGATCACCTCCGATCTCTGTCCTCGTACAGGAGGTCTAGGGTGCCGTTCCACTAACCGATCTTATCTAAGATCAATCCTAGCAAGTTACGCCAATTTTACAATCGTCTCAGCTGAAAGTTACACCCGTTCCACTAACCGTTCTTAGGCCGATCGTAGCCGGTCCCGATCTTACGATCCGATCTAAGCTTAGATCGAGACTCTTTGGTGAGAGATAGAGAAATGCGAGGCACGAGTTATCTCCTTTTGCATAGTCTAGCGGACGATGGAAGTAGTTTTGGAACAAAGTGAAAACGTGGAGAAAAAACCTCGAGAAAAATATCAGGGTAGTGGAACAGCACCCTGGAGAATAATAAATTCAGCAACTTATACAATGTTTTACATAAGCGTTAGAAACTGTTATTGCTTTGGATAATACACAATGTTTCTATTTTGCAGGAGGACCTTATGGTAATGCCCTATCTATGTTGAGAAAGGAATATTTTGTGTATGCAAGGATGGGATCTGTGTTCTCCATGAATGCCAGTTAGTACCACGACTGACAAGATTGCCGTTAATTAAGTTACTAGCTGATAAGTGGTGGTGGTGGTGGAATTGCGTTTAACGTCGTGCTTGAGAATATTTCGCTCATATGACGACGTGCATGCGTGTGTATGTGTATGTGCGGCTGCTTGTACTAGCCCGGACTTAAGCTGGTTTTATAGTGCTAGCCCACTGAGATACCATGCCGCAGTGAAGCATGAATACCCCACTCAGACACATTATACTGACTCCGAGCCGACCAGTCCTTGTTGTACCCATTAATGTCGAGCGCCAGGCAGGGACCAACAAGTATCATATTTCAACGTCTTTTGGTATGACGCGGCCGGGGATCGAACCCGCGACCTTCCGCTCTCCGGGCGGACGCTCTAACCACTACACCACGGAGGCGGTCAGCTGATAAGTTAGGCTGATAATGTTTCCGTTGTTCATGTGGTAATAACAGTTTGTATTCAGTGATAATATTACTTCCTGTAGTGCAATGTACAGGTGGAGCACAGTGGTGTAGTGGTTAGCATGCTGGCCTCTCACGCCAAAGCCCCGGGTTCGAATCCCGGTGGAGACACAAAAAAAAATGTGACCTGGGTCTCATACTGTGTTGTGACCCTGGGCAAGGCACTTCGTCCACATTGCATTCAGTCCACCCAGCTGTTTAAAATGGGTACCTGAAAAGCGGATGTACGGACCTATACGGTCGCGCTTAGTAGCAGCTTTGAAAGTAGAAATCCGTCAGGGTAATAATGTAACGCCAGAGAACAGCATCGCTTTGGATTCTAGGCGCACAAATTAGCATTATTATTATTATTACATATTGGGTTCTCATGAAAGCAGTCTGGGGCATCAACGTAACATACCAACAAATACTATCATCTTATAAAACCTGTATTCAGGTGTTTTGTGTTTGGTAAAAAATTGATATTGTAATTGGAACTGGCTACATGTCATGTAACAAGATACACAATAAACTACGTTAACAGCGAACAGGCATATAACGAACAGGCATATAACGAACTGTTAGATAAGGCGAACCTCCATGTATTTGTATACTTTAGTCGAAATGCGTAAAGTTATGGTTCTCATTTATAGCAAAACTCTTTCGTTTTTAGTACGTTTTGATAATCAACTTTTCTTTGTAAATAAGTGAATAGATATTGTAATACTTGTTCTCTTGAAGTATTGGGATAGCATAGGGAAACAGGGTTTAAATTGGTTAAACCCAATCTTCAGATTCGATGAAGTCCCATGGCCGAGGCGATCAGCTTATAGAGCTGGACGGGAGTGAATCCCACTGTCAGAACAGCCGGTGCCTCCACGACGTGATGATCATCCACCACCCCTGGAGCCCCACCTACTTCGACGTGGGCCGCGACTACAGCCTGTTTGCACTGGGAGACAGAGAAGTCCAGTCGGCATACCTTTCTCACACAGTGTCCCTCCTGTCTGCGATGAGAGACTGAACTACTAAATATACAGTCAATAAACAACGATTGATTACACACGAGTGGTTATTTATAATTCTAAGATGCTTCGCTAAAAGATCAAAGGCGTCGACAGTACTTTATCAGGCGATAAAGTTCACTTTTTGCATGACGTCACAATGTATTGACGTCACAACGCCATTCTCGTCTGCCCCCTCGTAATCAAACGTACCCAGTTGTCATCGCCTCGTACACTACTCCGCAGCATACCATTTCTTGGTTTGCAGTTGCTTCGCTCAGCTAACATCACTGGTGGAAAGATTACGTTTATGTTTTTCGACGGATAATATATCTCGGATCGACTCGCAATTAAACAGCGACACGGCAACGTTCGCAATGTTTACATTCACACAATGCATCGTGGGATGTCGCGCGTCTAGTCAGCTTCATCTACTACTCAAAACAAGTTAAGGGTCAAAACTTTTAATGGCCATAACTACAAATATAAATAACAGTAAAATGTAGCGATCATATAACAACTCGAGCCAACATTTCATGATAACCATAACGGGAGACAAAAACAGCAGGAATGTCAGTGATTGCTGATCAATAAGGTCAAAGTGACCTACTGGCAGAAGTAAAAATTCAAACGCCAACATTGGACTAATAACGGATGTTACCACCTCGAGCAGTAAGACAAGCAGTTCACCTCATACTGTTCACCAGACGTTGGAAGAAGGCTTGGGGTATTGTCTGCCATTCTGCAATGAGATACTGGGCCAGTTCTGCACGGTTGTTTGGAGGGGCGTGGTTGTTACGAAGCCGACGTACTTACTCGTCCCAAGCATGTTCCATAGGGGCTAAATCTGCTGAATATGCCGGGCATTCCATGTGCTGAACATTGTTCTGTCTACGGAAGTCCGTCACAACATGGGCACGGTGTGGTCGGGCATTGCCACCTTCGAATATGGATCCGACGCCGGTACGTTGTAAACATTGCAAAACAAGGGGTCTGATAATCTCCCGTAGATAGCGATTTCCGGTGAGGGTACCATTAAAGACATAGAGAGGTGTCCTTTGATGAAAGGAAAATGCACCCCAAACCATGACACCCCGCCTCCAAATGTCAAACGTTGCTTGACGTTAACGTCAGCAAACCTCCCTCCTGGACGCCGATACACACGAGTTCTACCACCATTGAACTGTAGAGTAAACCTAGACTCGTCGGAGAAAAGAACTGATGCCCACTGAGCACGTTGCCAACGAACATGGCGTCTACACCAGTCATGTCTTGCCGTTGTGTGTTGCTGAAGGGGCGGTGGTCGTACTGCTGGTCACCGTGCCCGAAGATTGTTCCTCGTCAGTCGGTTACTGAGAGTCTGATCAGATACCAGGGTACTTGTGGCAGTTCTCAGTTGGTCACGGAATTGTCTGGCAGCTACTCTGCGTTGTGGGAGAGACATATTTGTCAGGTATCGGTCTTCTCTAGGAGTTGTTGATGGAGGCCTGCCAGAACGTGGTCGATTAGTCAGCGTTCCAGTGACACGAAACCGGTGCCATAACCTTCCAATGACACTCTGACTCACATTTAGTCTCTGAGCCACACTGCGTTGAGGTTCGCTATCTTGAAGCCACGCAAGAGCTCTTCCTCTGTCATTCTCTTCTCTTGCCATTGTTGAATTTCAAGTGACAACAACAAAGCGACAATTACAAGTTTTATAGGGACAATAAGCATGCACAGCACTAATCCCACGAAGAACACGTGCACATGTTGTTCATGGTGAAACATCATCTTTCACACGCACAGTGGTGGCGCTTCTGTGAAGCACTCGATGTTTCAATTTGATCATTTTTTAACACCCTACCACATGATGACTATTGGCACCACGGTTATCTGCAGCCTTTATCCAGGTTCTGCAATGGTTTTGAATAAACTGCCATACACGGAATGTAAAATTTTATTTATACATAATGCTACCAGCCCCATCAATAACATTACATGATGACATCGCATGACCCTTAACTTGTTTTGAGTAGTATATAATGTGTCTGAGTGGGGTATTCATGCTTCACTGCGGCATGGTATCTCAGTGGGCTAGCACTATAAAACCAGCTTCAGTTTGGGCTAGTTCAAGCAGCCGCACCTACACACGTCACGCATGCACGTCGTCATGTGAGCGAAATATTCTTTTAAAAGTGCGACGTTAAACCCATTTCACCTCACCTCTTAAATAGTACGAACATTCCATCCCGACTTGATTCAAATATTTTATTGGAACTTTAATATTGTTTCTAACTTTGATTCAACGTTAACATTTCAAGGTTCAAATCCAACCAATATTCCACGTCCTTTATTGAAGCATTATTATCTTAAGATTAATTCAACACGGCAGTTCGTGTTGTGTTTACTTTACTCTATTTCAACTTCCCAAACACCGAGGATTCATTGGTTAAGAATGCTTACATAAACACGTGTCAGTCAGGACAAAAGCCTTGTATATTTCACACAGGTGTTCGCCAGAATAGTCACGTGCTGTCATGGTTACGAGTTTAGCCAATCGGGACACACTTCCGTTGCACGAACTTTTCATGCGCGTTATTCAGAATCTTTGGTGGAAGCAGACGCGACATGTGTAAAATGACGCGGTGTATGTCACATTTATGTGGTAAAGCCCTTTGTTAATTGACTTATATTGGGGATTCAATGTACTTAGACTCCGTTTTCTCATGTTTCAATTGCTTCCGCGCTACGCTGTAAGTAATGTTTTCAAGTTTGTTTTGTTTTGAAGACAATTATTTTCAACGTGATTTCCAGCCCGGCAATATTGTTTTGATTGCAATAAACGTTGAAGAAAACTAGGTGAACAATTACGGTTAACTGCTGATAATAAATAATCTATATCATTTGGTCAAATAAAATATATTCTTTGTGTAATTAGTTAACCTCCAGCGACGACGTAAGGTATGAGTAATGTCAAAGGCCACAGTTAGGAATAATCTGTGTTTAACTTTAATTTACTTGTCAGAGTTTATTTCGTTGATACGTAAAATACATTTCAAAAGATTTCAACATCGGAGTTCTTTTAGGTTAAAACAATGACCCTATTTTGTTAATTGAAATGCCTCTTGCAACCATATATAATGTGTGGTAGACAACTCATTTTTCAGTCCAAATCTTCTTTTTTTTCCTTCTTTTTGTTGGGGCACAATGCATTATTAAGGCACTTTCGGGCACAATTGTTCCTCGATAATATACCAGGATTTCTTCGGGCATTGAGTACCTTGTCACATGTTATCATTCACTTTGGCTATTGATAGTTTTCAGTAAATTTTAGCATCCTTTTACTAGTCATCTTGGTCTATCTAAACAATGAAATATTTTATAGGGGATGGAGTGGTCATAATTCCATTTACAATAACGTGTACATTTGAACGAATGAATAGACATGATTAGCAAAAACAATTTTGCTTGAACTTGTGTTTCAAATAATGTCAACTTTTGATCAGTACATGCACCACCCATGCCACGTGAGCTTACAACAGTGAGACATTGTCTCCGTAAAACGACCATGTCACGTGAGCTTACAACAGTGACACATTGTCTCCGTAAAACGACCATGTCACGTGAGCTTACAACAGTGATACATTGTCCCCGTAAAACGCCCATGTGACATGAACTTACAACAGTGACACATTGTCTCCGTAAAACGCCCATGTCACGTGAGCTTACAGGTCTGTTTTGGACGTCCTCTTTTCCTCTTGCCTTGTAACTAAAGGTTCCAGTCAAGCGCTTGTCTGGTGATATTTGTTTTGTGCTTTCTTAGCGTATGCCCAATCTAACGCCACTTTTGTCGCTTGATCTGCTGGAGACTTTATCGAACCACTTTATACAGAGGATCTGTTGGAGACACTTATTGAGGAAAGTCTGTATTTTGATGGAGCTCGTCATGGTTACTCTCCACGTTTCCGATCCATAAAGCAGGACAGGACGAACATTTGAGCTGAAGATCCGGAGTTTGGTTTTCAGGGATAGGACCGTGCATTTCCAGATCGGTCTTAATGTGGTGAAAGCATAATGGGCTTTTCTGATCCTAGCCTTGATTTCCTCGTCTGTGCCACCAGTTGTACTGATTTTGCTGCCCAGACAGGGGAATTCGGTGACGTCTTCAATCACTTGTCCGTTGATCTGTAATGGATCTTGCTGTTTGTTTTGGGTCCTCAGAACTTTCGTCTTATCTCTGTTTGTCTTGACGCCACCTGGGCTTGAGACAGTTCCCAGTTCATCCAGCTTGTCTTGCATGTCCTTGAGCCTGTGTGCTAGGAGCGCTAGGTCATCTGCAAAGTCGAGGTCCTCAAGTCTACTGGTGAGAGAAACAATAGTCACTTTTTAACTTTGTAAACAATGAAGAAATGTCAATGAAATTATTCCATCATTTATTCTAAATAAAGCTAGGCTGTAACACATATTGTGTGATTTTTCCGATTGCAATTGACAGTCAGAAAACTTAATTTTTTTATTGTATAAAGTGAAATTATTTGGATTCAGCTATTATTGAGTCAGCTATGACCGTCTGAAAATATTTTGGGAGAGTCTGACAGAAGTGTTGAGTCAAATACGCAGGAATTCCGGGTCATGTAAAACCCTATATCGGTAAACCTACATAACCGGTACCAAAATACGAGCTATGGATATACGGGGAGTGATCAGGATATTTTGTAGAAAGCAAGACTCAAACCCCTCGCCACTAAACGTTGCAGACTTTTCCTGTCGCGATTCCCAGCGTATTTGACAATAGTCATCACAATTTTCCATTGCCTTGGTATCGACACAGATCGGTCTGTCAAAATCAGCAACGTCGGAATGATAAAATACCAAAATCTACAACTGGCATATCCCTTGAAAATGGAATACGACCAGTGTCTGATTTGTTCCTTACTCATGATGCTGGACAACGCATTGTCAATCACTTTCAGTCAGAAACAGGTTGGTGTATAGCATTCGTCTCACCTGGTAGTGTATCTGCTTCAGTCTCATTGAATAATAATGATGAATAACCAAGCTTAATAGAATTGCTCTGTGAACGTTGCAAATTATTTTGCCTAAATACTGTAACGTGACAGGAAATTATAATTTTGATGCTGTATTTCTTTACCTCTTGATGTCCACTTTGCCAGTTGTGAAATTTAACAAACTGTCGTGCCGTTACCTGGAATGTTTCTGTGGTAAGACATCCCTTAAACTGTTATATGTTTAGTAGATGTATTGGGTTGAATGAGGTTTTTTCAATGTTGATGTTTGATAACGTGTGGGGGAATGGGAGATACACGTCTCTGGAATATTGCTGAGTTAAACAACAAACCGACCAAACCTAGACGTCTTACTGAAAATGTGCAGAGAAGAGGAACACTTTCTATGGATAGACAACTTCTTATTTGCAGTAGATGCGACGTTTCGGTGTAGATCCTAACACTGTTATCAAGCAAATGATGATAAGTGTGATGGTACCTACACCGAAACGTCGCATTTACTGGAAATAAGAAGTTGTCTATCCATAAAAAGTGTTCCTCTACATCATACCAGCTTCTAAATGTCACTTAAGGAAGTTATGTGCAGAGAACTCTGGAAATTAGGTTGCCAATACATGAAGTCGAAGCCCAACAGCGTTGGACTCCTCTCACGCAAGAGTACATAAAATCACTGTTTTCCAACTGGAATGAAGCACTCTTTTCGGAAACGCTGAACATTTTGGGCAAGTTACCAACTTGGATATATTCCTGTATTCTACGTTTGTTCAGTTCCTATGGCGATCAGTGCTATGGTGACATACCGCGGTTAGATTGTCAACTTTAATATTCCACTTAAGTGAATGTCTGAAATTCAGCTGTGAAGAAAACCCTCATTTTGGAAGGGGTTCACAAGCACAAGGTGGAGGGGTCCTGCTCTGTCCATTAGATCTGAGAAATTAGGTCCTATTTTGGGCACTTAGTGATGATGTTCCATTACAATTCATGTCCTAAGTAGGGGATAACGGTTGGTTGGTTTGTTGCTAAACATCGCACTTGGCAATATTCCAGCTATATGTCTGTAAAAAATCGAGTCTGGACCAGACAATCCAGTGATCAACAGCATGAACATCGATCTATGCAACTGGGATACGATGACATGTCAACCAAGTCAGTGAGCCTTGGTTGACACGTCATCGAATCCCAATTACGTAGATTGATGCTCATGCTGTTGATCACTAAATAATAGCTAGCCATATTTGTGAGAAAAGGCCAACAGGATGCAAGTTGTTGATGTTTACAAATGTGCAAGCTGTTTAGCATAGAAATAAGAAATCAAGGTTAAAAATCAAGACAAATCTGGCATTCAATCACTGGATCCTGGTCATGATATGGGAAGCAACTCTGTACAATGTCCTACAAACATGATACAAAAAAATGACCATGAAGTTGTTTTTTTTGTTGTTGCATCATTTTGCAATATTCCAGCCATATAACTGCAAACAGTCAACCCCGGACATGACAATCCAGTGACTCACATGATGGGCATCAGTCCACACAATCAACATATAATATTTGCAACAATCAATTTAGTTGGCCTGACCACCCAATCCCTGTCACAACTGGTTTGTTGTTTAATGCTGCACTCAGCAATATTCCAGCAATGTGGTGGCGGTCTGTAAATAATCGAGTCTGGACCAGACAATCCAGTGATCAGCAGCATGAGCATCAATCTAGGCAATTGGGATATGATGACATGTATAAACAATATCAACGAGCCTGCCCACCTGATCCGCTTAGACGCCTATCACGACAACCATGCATTACTGAAGATCAATTCTGGCCCGGATCTTCACTTGTACCTGTCACAGCAAGCACAAGGATAGAAATACTTCTTTTTCTAAGTGTGCCTTAGGGCACCAGACAAATATTTTAGGTGTGCCTTCCTGAAATCGAGTATGCCCACGTTTTTAGAGTAAATTACAATGATGAGGATCATTTGAAATTTATTGTTAAATAAAGAAATGAGCATTCAGATATGTATTGTATTGTCAAATTTGGAAAAAAATATTTGTTTTGGGGATTAAATGACTAAATGTGAGTTATGTCTCTTAAGAAATTAGGCGTGTCAAAAGGGCACCGAGAACATTTTGTAGCCGTGCCATTTCTGTATTTACAGTGCCATGGAACACTAATATATGGGGTATTTCGAACCCTGTAAGCATGTGTTCAACACAGAAATAATGATATGAACAAAGGTCAATAATCATACAGCATGTGACTTGAATACTGTATTAACCCAACAGCTACAACAATTAGTGAGTGAATACTGTATTTACCTAACAGCTACAACAACTAGTGAGTGAATACTGTATTAACCCCACAGCTACAACAATTAGTGAGTTAAAACTGTATTAACCCAAAGCTACAACAATTAGTGACTTGAATACTGTATTAACCCAACAGCTACAACTAGTGAGTGAATACTGTATTAACCCAACAGCTCCAACAATTAGTGAGTTAAAACTGTATTAACCCAACAGCTACAACAATTAGTGACTTGAATACTGTATTAACCCAACAGCTACAACAACTAGTGAGTGAATACTGTATTAACCCAACAGCTACAACAACTAGTGAGTGAATACTGTATTAACCCAACAGCTACAACAACTAGTGAGTGAATACTGTATTAACCCAACAGCTACAACAATTAGTGAGTGAATACTGTATTAACCCAACAGCTACAACAACTAGTGATTGAATACTGTATTAACCCAACAGCTACAACAACTAGTGATTGAATACTGTATTAACCCAACAGCTACAACAACTAGTGAGTGAATACTGTATTAACCCAACAGCTACAACAACTAGTGAGTGAATACTGTATTAACCCAACAGCTACAACAATTAGTGAGTTAAAACTGTATTAACCCAACAGCTACAACAATTAGTGACTTGAATACTGTATTAACCCAACAGCTACAACTAGTGAGTGAATACTGTATTAACCCAACAGCTCCAACAATTAGTGAGTTAAAACTGTATTAACCCAACAGCTACAACAATTAGTGACTTGAATACTGTATTAACCCAACAGCTACAACAACTAGTGAGTGAATACTGTATTAACCCAACAGCTACAACAACTAGTGAGTGAATACTGTATTAACCCAACAGCTACAACAACTAGTGAGTGAATACTGTATTAACCCAACAGCTACAACAATTAGTGAGTGAATACTGTATTAACCCAACAGCTACAACAACTAGTGATTGAATACTGTATTAACCCAACAGCTACAACAACTAGTGATTGAATACTGTATTAACCCAACAGCTACAACAACTAGTGAGTGAATACTGTATTAACCCAACAGCTACAACAACTAGTGAGTGAATACTGTATTAACCCAACAGCTACAACTAGTGAGTGAATACTGTATTAACCCAACAGCTACAACAACTAGTGAGTGAATACTGTATTAACCCAACAGCTACAACAATTAGTGAGTGAATACTGTATTAACCCAACAGCTACAACAACTAGTGAGTGAATACTGTATTAACCCAACAGCTACAACAACTAGTGATTGAATACTGTATTAACCCAACAGCTACAACAACTAGTGAGTGAATACTGTATTAACCCAACAGCTACAACAACTAGTGAGTGAATACTGTATTAACCCAACAGCTACAACAACTAGTGAGTGAATCTAGTTCTACGCCCATTTTTAGCACTATTCCAACAATACCACAGTGGGGGACCCCAGAAATGGGCTTCACATATTGTACCCATAGCCTAGTGGTTAAACCGTTCGCTAGTCACGCCGAAGACTCGAGTTCGATTGCCCACATGGGTACAATGTGTGAAGCCCATTTCTGGCGTCACCCGCCGGGATATTGCTGGAATATTGTTAAAGCCTAAAGAAAAAAATGCTGTGGTTCCGATTACCCGACCGACCCTTGAATTCTGGTGCCGATCCTATTATTTTTAAGAGGACTGAATAAAATAAGCTTTCAGATACCATTGATTTTTCCCGACGCCGACAGATATCGGTCATTCTGATAGAGAAAGTCGATATGATGGCTGCAAGCTTGATTGAATAAATAATTACACATTACTTTGTACTTTCCTTCTGAAAAATGTATGTGAAATAAAATATTCCTAACCACCTACCCTAATTTTTAAAGAGATGCAATCGGAACCACAATATTATTATTATTTGGCCTAAGAGCAGCATAACACTAAACTCACTCATTGCTAACTTTTATAACTAACAACATCCATTCTCCATGTATATTTTCTTTATTGACAAATCCGACTATTTACAATATACTGATCGCACCAACATATCTGGGAGTGAGATCCTGCTACACCGGGCACCTCCAACAGTCACACATCATACACACTCATGTTGAAATCAAGAACTCCCGGCGCGTGTGTTGTCCAGACAGTCCTTGGCTCCGTTAATCTTAGCTGCCAGGAATGGGGAGCCACCTGGAATAACATAACATAGGAGAATGTGAATGAGTTGAGTTTTATGCCGCACTCAGCAATATTCCAGATATACAGCAGCGGTTTGAAAATAATCGAGTCTGGACCAGACAATCTGTGACCCACAGCATGAGCAGCAGATCAATCTATGCAATTGGGAACCGATGACATGTGTCAACCAAGTCAGCGAGCCTGACCACCTGATCCCGTTAGTAAGCCTCTTATGACAAGCATGGGTTGCTGAAGATCAATTCTAACCAGATCTTCATGGGTCACTCTATAATGAAGAGCATGTAGTGTTTGAATATGGAATTCTTATACATACCTCTGTCAGGGTGGTTCAACAGCATTATTCTCTTGTGTGCCTCCTTGATTTTAGCCTTGCTTGCAGCTGGGCTGAAAGTGACCAATTGGATCATGTTCAGTGTGTTGACGTCTCATTGTGTTATACAGGGGTGAGAATGAAGTTTTGAGAAAAACTCTCAAAACTAGCCAAAGCTCCTGATATTTAGGCATTTTAGACCTTTAAAACCTTGCTCAAAATGACAATATCATGAGCACAGCAACCATTAAAAAAACTTTAAATCTGCTGAAGCAATACAATTGTCAACGGATTTAGATGATTCACAAAAATGACCCTTGGTGTTATGAAATTCCCGGAATTCAGCGGATCCGTGGAAGATTCTCATCCCTGGTTATACAGCTTTTCCAGTAGAAAATAAGAAGACATGTTCATCAGCATCCCCCGCCAGTGTTCTGTTCCTATGTTGACAACTATTCACTCTTCCTACATATAGAGACAAGCTGTTAAATGACTACTGAGAGGATTACTGTTTCGCCAGCTAAAAGAAGATCACAGGGTCATGACTCTGATAAAAATTGTAACACGGTTCCTGTTTTTTAACTCCACCACGACACTCATGTCCTGAAAACATATACCACATTTAGATTCCCTAACAATAACAGTTACTGAGAAAATCTGTAGCCATTGGCGATAACAACACTGTGTGAAGAAACGCATGAAAGGGGACATAACTCTGTAACAAATTATTGTAACACTGTTTCCGTTTTCGACCTCCTTCAAGGCATTTGTGTCCTGAAAATACATACCACACTTGGTTTCCCTACCTCTAAGAGTTACTGAGAAAATCTGTTCCCATTGGGGATAACGTTAAGTCAAGAAAAGCATGACAAGGGCCATAACTCTGTAAACAAATTGTAATGTGGTTTCTGTTTCGAACTCCAGCAAGGCATTTATGTCCTGAAAACACATGCCAAATTTTGTGGCGGGGGATAATAATACCTACATTCTTCTTGGAGAGCTGAACCAAACAATTTTAACTCTCACACATAGAAGCATAGCATTTAGAGGTTATACATGGCAGTTTTGATATCATACCTAACACCAACCAGAGTCCTTTAGGTCTTTAGGCAGTCATCTCAAGATGATAACATATGATATGAAAACTACCATATAATATCACTTACATACAAAAGTTGGTGTCCCCAATCATGTGTGATGTAATTAACCGTTACCCTGGTAACACGAGTCATACAAAAGATATTGGCATATCAGCCATTGCAGTGACGTGATTGATGCACAGTTACCATGGTTACTCAACAAACATTAAAAGATTATGGCTAACCTGTCTCCCAGTAGCAGTGATATGATTGATGCATAGTTACATGGTTACTCAACAAACATTAAAAGATTATGGCTAACCTGTCTCCCAGTAGCAGTGATGTGACTGATGCATAGTTACCATGGTTATTCAACAAACAAACAATTGATTGATTGATTTAAACACCACACTCAGCAATATTCCAGCAATATGGTGGCAGTCTGTAAATAATCTAATCTGGACCAGACAATCCAGTGAACAACATCATGAACATTGATCTACCTAACTGGGAGCCAGCCTGACCACCTGATCCTGTTAGTCACCTCTTATGACAAGCATGGGTTGTCTTTCTTGACCACCAGCACCTGTATGGTGATTAATGAACAGTTACCATGGTGACAGAATGTATATACAAAGGACTTTCTTATCTGACTCCTTGCAGCTGTGCTTTTATTTATGCACAGTTACCATGGTGACGCAACATATATATAAAGGACTTGCACCAGGGCTTTGATTTATGTACTGTTAACAAGGGAATACAACTAACACAAAAAGGGTGATAGCTCACCTGACCCCTAGCACCAACCCCGCTTCTCTCTTGGTCATCTTCGGGTCAAAGCCTCCTTTGTAGTACTTGCTGAAGGCCTAGGAAGATAAAAATTGTGAAATTATTTTTTCAGTGAGTGAGTTTTGTTTTACGCCGCACTCAGCAATATTCCAGCGCTATGGCGGCGGCCTGTAAATAATCGAGTCTGGACCAGACAATCCAGTGATGAACATCATGACCATCGATCTACGCAATTGGGATACGATGACATGTGTCAACCTAGACAGTAAGCCTGACCACCCAATCCTGTCGGTCACCTCTTACGACAAGCAAGACTTACTGATGATCAATTCTAACCTGGATCTTCATGGGTCTTTAAACTTTACCATTGCCCAGAGCATTCTGTGTTGTGTTGGCACCATCTGACCAGTTGTTGGTCGATTCATTGATCTTCTCCCAAATTACATGGGCAGTGGTGTAGCCTTGTGGTTAAAGCGTCAAGCTGAAGACCCAGGTTCGATTCACCACATGGGCGTCCCTGCCGTGATGCTGCTGGAATATTGTAAAAAAGCGACGTAAAATTAAACTCACTCACTCACTCACTCACTAAATTCCACACAGCATTAACTTACACCTGACTGAGGAAGAGCATCTAGTTGTTTCTTCAGTGTCTGCTGAGCGACGCGCCCGTAACGTACGAGATAACGACCTGTAAAGGAACAGTGACACTCGTTAATTTCCACCACTGCGCAGTTAATGAAGTCATTATTGTTGCCTTATTTGTTTATAGAACTGACTTCAATATGTTTTGCATCCATGGATACAGTTGATTTCTATCATTTAAATGCACAGTCTTATAAGAAATGTGTCTAAAATGAATAGGCCTTGCTTGGTCATGTACAATCACTGATGTGTCAATGTTGAGGAGACTGGAAATATTGTTAGGGACTGGAAAATAGCTTCGAGACAATCTTAACTGCAACACCTCAGGTTTTAACAGAATGCAGTTTAACTGTATTATTCATGGTTAATGCAATAATTAATTATCTTAATTTTTCGATTGTCTAAGATGTATTTGTTACTGTTCTCGGCAAACAAATCAAAAGAAACCTTGTATTAATTGCAATGGTGATGTATTTGCATATTTTACACAGTTGTACTTAATTGGCGGTGTGTGGTCTTGAGCATAGAGACCAGGGCCCCGTTCCTCAAAGTGATCGTATCGCTACGACTGTCGTAAGTCCATGTTAAAGTATGGGAGATACGATCGCCTTAGGGTTACAATCGCTTTGAGGAACGAGGCCCTGGGCACAAATCAGGTGAAGTTAAGCAACCATGGTCACGGAGAGTCCTTTGATGGGTGACTGTCGGCAGCTTGACTCCTGAGAGTTTCTAGGACTTCTGTCCTGCACACATGTGGTCTCACCTTAGGCAAGTGAGTTTGTTCAAAATTGATTCTGTTCAACCAGCAGTGAATGGGTACCCGGTGGGATAGGTCATATGACTGTTAACATTCTCGCGCCTCTCAAGCAGCTTAGGTTATTTTGGGTAATAATGTTTTAGCGTTTTCAGCACGCACAAGTGTGTGGATACAAGTGCTTTATTAATGTCCATTATTAGTACTATTTAACTGGGGCTTGTAATCGACACACTGTGAATTGCAAACATGAAACTTCCTATCTGTAAGGTGGGCTCAATCAGCAGTGATCTAATGATATGGCACTACAGCATCGTATCACACTATAAGGCTCATTATAATATACATCCATTTACAATCCATATATCAATACATACAATACATCACAAGTTGAATTGATGTAAAAACATGTTAGTACATGTTCAAGAAGTAGATTACGCAGATCTCTGATATTTTCTGGTTGGCTATTAATAGAAGAATCATCAACGTGCCCCAAAGCGTATAAATTCCTCCCCTACAATATCCCATTTTCACTGTGAACTAAAAACAAAGAATTCAAGGCGTGACTTAACTGCATTTAATGTCATTATTTGCTTGATAACGGTGTTAGGATCTACACCGAAACGTCGCAACTACTACTGCAACAAGACCCGTGAAGACCAGGGGTAGAATAGGTCTTCAGCAACCCATGCTTGCCACAAAAGGTGACTATGCTTGTCGTAAAAGGCGACTAACGGGATCGGGTGGTCAGGCTAGCTGACTTGGTTGACACATGTCATCGGTTCCCAATTCCGCAGATCGATGCTCATGATCACTGGATTGTCTGGTCCAGACTCGATTATTTACAGACCACCGCCATATAGCTGGAATATTGCTGAGTGCGGCTTAAAACTAAACTCACTCACTCACTACTGCAACAAAGAAATTGTCTATCCATATAAAGTGTTCCACTTCATGCATAAAGGAAGATAATATGAACTTATGAAATAGACTGACTGACTGACTGAGTTTGGTTTTTACGCCGTTTTTAGCAATATTCCAGCAACATCACTGCCGGGGACACCAGAAATGGGCTTCGCACATTGTACCCATGTGGGGATTCGAACCTGCGTCTTCAGCATGACGAGCCAACGCTTTAACCACTAGGCTACCCCGACGGCCCTTATGAAATAGAAGCAGTGTATCAGGATATGAATCTTATCATGCAAACCTGTGTTCCACAGGAGATATTGCTTGTGTGAGATCAAACGGTATCTCCTAGGAGATATTATTTTGACAGATTTTGTACAATGCCTTGACAATTCTACGACGTCATGAACGTCACAATGCTATGAAATTGCTGCACTACAAGTCTAATGGCAGAAGTGTGTTCAGAGATGTACCTTTTCATTGAAAACTAATGAAGAGTAATTATTTATGACAAATAGAATCTCACCCGAGTGTCTTCTGATATCAAATATATCAACACTCGTTGATAATAGTAAAATATCCTTGTCAAGCCTCAGATATTTGTAACTTTATCAACTCGTGGTGATATATTTGACATAAAAAAACACTTGGGTGAGATTCTCTATGTATCGTATTGCACCCATATCACCGGGGTACATGTATCGAATTACACCAAGATCGGGATATGAATAGTGTCCCACCAATATTATTGGGGTATGTATCATGTTGCACCCACACTATCAACATACATATGCTATTGTTCACCTCATGTATTTCTTCGTGTACAGCATCATATCTTCACACAGTGACTTACCTCCGAAACCAACAGCTGCAAGGCCAAGCCCCGCCAGGACGAGTCCTGATGACTGAAAAACAAATAAAAAAGTTCCTTGAGCACCATGCAGGCAGATAGATACGGGTCGCTTTAAGCTTGTGCATGTTTACTGATGTATGAAGCTTCAAAGAGTTAGGCCAAATGTAAACGTCTTAGTTTCTCTTCTCAAACTTGGAAAAAGTGTCAAAATGTGTCGTTCATACTCTTAGGAAAGTACGTTCCACAGTCAAATAACACGCCTCTTGACTGGATTCACTAAACTTCACTTCAAAATATTATGTATGGCTAAGATACTACTACTTTAAGCATTTGCTCGTTTATCTTGAGTAAGCATCATTGAATTAATGGCAGTTTAAGACATTGACAAGACATGGCTACATGAAAATCGGGGGGTGGGGGGTGGGGCAGTGGGGGGGTAGCCTAGTGGTTAAAGCATTTGCATGTCAAGCCGAAGACCCGGGCTAAATTCCCCACATGGGTACAATGTATGAATCCTATTGCTGGTGTCCCCTGCTGTGATATTGCTGGAATATTGCTAAAAGCAGCGCAAAACCCAACTCACTTACCCACTATTATGATTTAAGCATTTAGAACTTGCACAGGGTTATTACCCGAGGTTGCACACAGTAAAAGTAGGTTTCACATCATTAAATCAAGCCTGTTATCATGGTTATATGTTTATTATGAATGGGTGCTAATATATTTTCCCTTAAATGTAACCTGGTCAGCGACACTGTACATGTTGCAATGAGTGATATGAGTGAGACAGAGACAGTACCTGACCCTAATGAATGAGTGAGTGAGTTTAGTTTCACGCCGCTTTTAGCAATATTCCAGCAATATCATGGCAGGGGACACCAGAAAATGGGCTTCACACATTGTAACCATGTGGGGAATTGAACCCAGGTGTTCGGCGCGACGAGCCGACGCTTTTGCCATCAGGCTACCCCACCAGCCCCTAACCCTAATAGATCCCCGACCGCGTCATACCAAAAGACATTAAATGTGGTACTTGTTGCTCCCTGCCTGGCTTTTGGCATTAATGGGTACAACAAGGACTGGTTGGCTCGGAGTCAATATAATGTGTCTGAGTGGGGTATTCATGCTTCACTGAGGCATGGTATCTCAGTGGGCTAGCATTGTAAAACCAGCTTCAGTCTGGGCTAGTACATGCAGCCGCACATATACATACACACGCATGCACGTCGTCATATGAGCGAAATATTCTCAAGCACGACGTTAAACCCAATTTCACCTCACCTCACCTAACCCTAATAATGGTAAAGGGACACTTGACTGGAGAGGAGATCCAGGAGCTATTGTTATATGTTTGGTAAAGCTACCCTAAACCTTAAACATGTTAAACAGCTAACCATAACATGCCAAAGGACGGATGAGGCTATTGAGATTTCTGAAGCTAGAGCCATAGTTGGGAGTTTGAGCCAGTTTGTAAGTGCGGTAATAAGGCTGAAGGGGTTGTTGGTGGCACAAGTAAGGGCTGGGACGATTTACCGATGCATCGCAATACATTAAATCATTTTAAATCTTGATACAGTGTCATTCTTTCAAGGTGTATGTATCATGATAAGTATCGTATCACAGGTAAAACATCGCGATATGTATTATTATTATTATTATATGATATTTATATAGCGCACATATCCAGGCAACTAGCGCTTGCTTGCTCATCACATAGTGTATCATTCCAGCCCTTCATGTACTACAGATCGGTTTTCTGCCCGAGGTCTGTTTAACAACTGCTCAATAAATTTCACAATAAACAATCACAAATAAAAAGAATACAACAAGATCTGTTTCCTATTAAGCCACGCCGCACAACCGAAGTCGGTCAGTGTATTATTAGCGGTCAAACAAGGTATTTACAAGTGAAAAGGTACAATGCCAGTTTGTTAAAATGGTATTGTTATTGCTTCTGATATTTGTTTCTGTTTGATACTGTTATTGATTATACTTATTAAAGCAGTTTCAAACCTCATAACGAATTTGTTGTTATATGTTAAAGATCAAATACTTTGAGAACTATTTCTTCAAGGGTTGGGATACATGTGTAAAAGAAAAATCGCTGTGTATACAAACATCGTACGTTCTTGAACCGAATGGCATTACAACATTTTACAGGTATTAAAACACACTAAACAATGATCATCTACAAGTGGGTGGAAAACGTATGTGTAAACTTCAAAGTCTTGAAATTATAAGAATTGAATGTCAGTTTGTGTGTTTGCACTGAAAAATGAGCGATGTCAAAGTGTTGTTCAAACTCTCGCGTGAACTCGCTCGTAAACTCGCTCGTTCACACGAGTTTGAACACCGCTTTGACATCGTTCATTTTTCAGTGCAAACACACAAACTGACATTCAATTCTTAATAAAGGTATGTGGTACCCTAAACGTCCGACACTGCCATATAGCTGGAATATTGCTGAGTGTGGCGTTAAACAACAATCAATCAAATCAATCAAACTAAACAGGGACAACCGAAACCTTATATAGTTACACCCATGCAACTGACTGTGAGTGGTATTGTGTATCTCGAAATATTCACTTTGTAAGCTTGTTTCTTATATAAGTTATAACACAATCAAATGTATCTAATACAAATATACAGTTACGATCAAGAGAATTTAATACAATTATACAGTTACGATCAAGAGAATGGCACACTGTAGATTGGGCTCGTCCTAGGGTATGTTTCTGTATACAGAAACGTACCTGGGGTAGACATCTGCAGTACTGCTGATGGGGGTTGTCAGCACTGGTACTTCTGATTCTGATAAAGGTAGCGGTATTAAGCTGCAAACTGTAAACTGCATTGTTACAGTGTTACCACGGTTACAATCTGTCTGTCACATAACATTAACGCTACAAGAGTGAGCGAGTAGTATGGCTTTTAGCCGCTTTTAGCAATATATTCCAGTAATATCACGGCGGGGACACCAGGAATGGAATTCAGCCTCCACACGACATTGTACCCATGTGGGAATCGAACCCGGGTCGTCAGCGGCTGTAGGTGAATTCGTAACCAAAACCGGTTCGTAGACGTGGAAATCCGGTGGATTCGTAGACGGATTGAGCGGTGGATTCGTAGACGTTATTAAAATGGGAAAAGTTCATCCTCAATGATGAAGAAAATCGACGAAAAGTGTTTGCATTTTGTGAAATAAATAAAATATATCAGGTAAGTATGATCGGCGGTGAAAATATCCTTAAATAATAAAATAACAAAATATGCTTCACAGTGGTCCATGTCCGACAAATTCCGACAAATCATAGGCCGCTAATATATTAAATTCAGTTGTGTAAAATTAAAAGATATGTATTAGGTAAGTATCGTCATTCAACGTTTAACTACGCAGACCAGCAGAGAAGTAGCAGAAAACACTTATTAAGAAAACACTTACATCTCCTACACAGAGTATTTCGCAATCAAAACAACTCACCACTTCCTAATTAACATTCACAACAACTCAGTGAAACCTGTTTATCCTCCCACAACAATGAAACCAGTCGGCAATTATGATGAGTAGACTAATTTTGTCTAATCCGCCGACAAAGTTTACCTGTACACACACTTATGGTATATAAACCTCAAGAAGGTAAGAAGAAATCATTCTGCATCATTCGTATCACTGAAAATAAAAAATACAACACAAACCCTACATATACAAATACATGTAAAACAAGTCTAGACAAGATACAGGAAATATTCGTTCACTCTTCAATCACATTTTCTTGTGTCCTCAGCTGCCCTTACTTTCGTATCACTGAAAACAAAGCATACGGGAAAATATTCGTTCACATTTTCGTGTGTCTTTAGCTGCCCTTAGTTTCGTATCACTGAAAACAAAGCATAACAACTTCGTTATACACATTCTAAGTAAAAATCAAACTTAATATATACTATTATTCAATTAGTTATACACATCTACGAAATCACCTCCTACGAAACAGTCTGGGTTACGAATTCACCGCGTCTACGAACTGGTTCTGTCTACGAAATCACCGTATCCCTCGTCAGCGTGACGAAACAACGTTTTAACCAATACTCTACCCCACCGCCCCTAACATTACAAGAACAGTGTACGGCATATTCTACTGCAAGCCTTTCAGTAGAATATGCCGATCGTTCCGTGTAAACAGAAGAAGCGTTCAACATACTCAAAGTCAAAATTAAACTCCCGAACACACCGAGTTGATCGAGGGCATTAGCACTTACCATCGTATGTGGACTGAAACTTCTGTTCTGTTGATATTTAGTAGTGTAGATCTTTTAAGATGGACAACTCGAAATGTTTACATTCCAACTTTTGTTATCACACGCAATTTGAGCATGGCCTTGCATATCCGGATATGGATAACAGGTGCGCGATGTTGTAATGGCGTTTTTCGTGTATTTATTTCAAAATTATTTTACATCTAAAAACGTGGAGACGTAAATCAAGACGCTATAAACATTGAACGATTTAAGACTGATATTACTGTCTCAAGCATTATACAACATTACTAACCTCATCCACTATTTTGCGACATGCCGACGTCCGGTATCCTCCAGTACGTTGCCATATCCGCCATCATGCTTAACTGTTTAATGTTGAAACGGCCATCATTTCACAGTAAATGGGCACGACACAACTCTCTTTCCAATCACCAACTGTATCGGAAACCAACGTAAACAAATTCCGTTGGCTGTTGACGTATATGTAATGTTATCAAGTAAATCACAATCATGTGAGTAGTATAATTCTTCAGGCAGTCCTCAAAATATATGTTTTACATATACAGCGAATGAGAGATGTAAGAGCCAATATATACCAGTATGCTCTCTAGTAATTTCATGCACTTAGCGATGGAATTGACTACAGTAGTTGGCCATAAGTGAGTCATCATTGGTGAAATTTCCATAGACTTACATGTTAATTAACTGTTGCAAGAATAATTTTCATAAATTGAGTAGAAGTCATTATATTTTGTTATTTTGCAAACATCTTGGAAATCATCTTCATCTACGTATACATGATTTTCTTTCATCTTTCAGTTGATTAGTTATTGCATGACACCTGATTAAGCACCATTTAAGCACAACTAAATTTTAATCTATCCCGCAGCCATGTTAATTAAACCTGATTGGTATGTCTAATGTAATGTTGTTTTATAAACAGTTGCAGTTTTCTTAATAATCATCGGAAAATTGAATGGAAATTATGTGAATGTAGCTGAGATGATTTCCCAGCCGGTAGATACGTATTGAAACCAATTCGACCGAAACTAAATTTATGAAAATTATTCTTGCAAGAGTTAATTAACATGCACGTCTATGAGAATTTCACTAATGATGACTCACTTATGGCCAACAGCTGTACATATGATCAACATTTGAGGGCAGCCTGTATGTAGAAGGTTCTGTATTCTATATCGAAAACGTCATTTAGGGGATAACTGTGCATTCTAAAGTCTACATTCTACACTTGTTCCATTCTACTTCGTTATTAAAACGCTTTTTTCATGAATGAAATTCATTATTAAGCCAGGTTAAAGTTCCTCTAGGTCAGAGGTTAATACTATCACTCCAGGGCCAAGATTTTCGAAGCTCTCTTAGAGCTAAGATAGTCGTAAGTTAATTAATGTTAACGCATGGCACTTACGATTATCTTACCACTAGGAGAGTTTCAAAAATCTAGGCCCAGGGTAGGGCTTCCACGGGTACTCGAGGACGAGTCGGGTTTAGCTGGACTCGAGTCCATTTTCAAGGACTCGAGGACTCGAAGAGGGGAGATAACTCGAATTATTGACGTTGACGGACTGTCTGCCATGTGCTAAGCATGAACGGCCGTTAACGTCTAATATTAAGAAAAAGATATACTAGTAACTTTATTATCCCGGAGGAAATTCTCATACATCCAAACTGTCTCAAAATGAATATATACACAGTTCACAAAAATAATGCACAATAATTACATGCTCAAAACGAATGCTATTTACAAATAAAGCTGACATGATATAATTCAATTAACCACATAGGTAAAGAGGCTGAATAATTCTAGTTTTAATAACATGATGATGATTCAAAATATTTGTAGCATTCACGAATACTTGATGGTATGAAAGACTGTCGAGCTCTGTTTTGAGGGAAGGTAATCGACAGCAGCGTCCAGAAGGAAGTAGTTCAAAATGGTGAGATCAAATATGTCAACTATCAAATCTAATTTTAGCTGCCTTTTTGACTATACTCGAAATACACTCCAGAAATTTTGCAAGCAGTATTCACAATTTTGAAAAGTCTGTTTTTGTTGCGATGAGACAGATCCCCATACCAACATAGAAAATTGTAGGTCAACACACTTTGAATAAAGGTTTGATAAAAAACTGTCATTACGCTTTTGTCAATGCCTTGATGATAATAATGTTCAGAATCAGAAATCAGGCCAATAACAGTGGCGTCATCTGCAAATTTCACAGTAAACAAGTCATATATTGACAAGTAACAGTCATGATGATTGGTATACAAAACGAAGCGTACGAACGAAGGAACACAGCCATGTGGATCTCCAGCAGAGGTTGAGAGAAAAGAAGATTGATAGCCATTGACACTGACATACTGAGTTCTATGTACCCTGCATTCTTTAACCCATCTGATAATGTTTTCATTAACACCTAGATTAAATAGTTTACTCCTCACACGGTGTGGCTGTATGGTATTAGTTGTTACAAGTCTGCAGATGAGAGTAAATATTATACATCGATTGAGATTTCACTTCTGAAAATGATTAGGTAACTATCTTGACAATTGAACGTTTGCTTGAAAGGTATGAATTTCGAGTACTCGGGTCCGAGTCGAGTCTCACCCCTCGAGTACTCGAGTCCAAAAGAATGGACTCGTTGAAGCCCTAGCCCAGGGCCCCGTTTCACAAAGCTATCGTAGCGCAACGACTGTCGTAAGTCTAAGTAAAATATGGGAGGTACAAATGCTACGAGAAAAGTTACGAGATCTTAGACTTACGAGGGCTTTGTGAAACGGGGCCAGGGACCCTAGCTGGAACTTACACCTTTGCCAGAAAAATAAGTTTCATTTTTAAACTTCAACAAACAAGTCAAATAATCACAATAAACACGTTTATTATGTGCACACTGACTAAATCACACAATGATCAATAAACATAGTGTTATATTAAAATGGATGGAATTCCCATGAAACCGCCCTCTCGTTATCAGTGGGTAGGAGAGTTATGGTGAATCGGTCAAAAGTTATGGTGAATCGGTTTTTTAAATTGCGACCGTATATGCTGATTATACGGTTGGATATTTATAGCAAGAATCAGTGTTACATACTAAGGTGAATTATCCGAATCTAGAATAACATAGTCAAAATCACAGTCCTGTCAAAACCTCGTAAGTCGGCATTTTGTCCAAATTGACTTTAGATGAAAAATACATTCATCTAGTAACAATGCATTTTCTGTCAAATTCTCAAAACAATCCTCCAATAGAATTCCAAGATACAACCATTTTTCAACAGAACCTATCTTATTGGTCGCCAGAAATGACATGCAAAACCTCGTAAGTTTCAGCGCTACCATTTTGTGAGGATGTGTTTCGATGCTTATTCACATTACTACAGTGGTATTGTGCTCGAAATACCACCTATGTTATGAAAATCATACACATGACATAGTAACAATTTATGACACAGATCAATTTATCACAAGTAGTTATAATAGTAGATGCCCGCTGAATCGGCAAAACATCTTTCAGATTTATGGCTTCGATAATATGAATCCCTTGCATTTGAAAAGTTCACACAGTCAAGCAGTGTATTCTTTATGGTGAACATTTCATACACTTTGGAGGTCCATCTCCATGTATTTTGAGCAGGCAGTCATGAGTAAACCGACTGTGGTCAATACGACATCGTCGTAAAGTGACCCCATCACGTCTTGACTGACAACTCAAGTAGGTGTATCCGATTGTTGCTTTCAATCCGTGAAGTCCTACCTTGGTGTGCTCTGGGTGCGTGAAATTATAATTTTATACACTTCTTATTGATTTGTATCTAACAAACTGATTTTGAAGACGTGCCGACGATAATCCATGCATGATCTAGGGTTTTCCCTTGGCGTGAATGGTGGTATTATATAAAACTTACTCATTACATATCATGATCAGCAGACCCTTGAAGATCCGGGCCAGAATTGGTCTTCAGGAACCCGTGCTTGTCGTAAGTGGCGACTATGTGACGGGATCGGATGGTCAAGTTCGCTGACTTGGTCGACAAATGTCATCGTATCCCAGTTGCGCAGATCGATGCTCATGCTGTTGATCATTGGATTGTCTGGTCCAGATTATTTACAGGCCGCCGCCATATTGCTGAAATATTGCTGAGTGTGGCGTTAAACAAAAATCAATCAGTCATGGTGAGCAATATATGGACATAAATATGAACGCTTTGAATATGTTCATGCTGTCCATTTGGTGAATGCCTGAAAATGACGCCAGACCAATGTTGACCACTTGCCGAAACCATGTAACCAATAATCATTGCATTCTTGCTCAACTTCAGCTGTGCAACTTTGCACAGTGAATGTAGACTCTAGTCTCTACGGTAATTATTAATAGTTTAAATGATAATTCCTAAACAATATATATATATTTGTTTTGGACATAGGCTCTGAAAGCAGTCATTAGGGTTTGGGGTTAGGTTAGATTGTTAGGTATAGATTAGGTTAGGTTGTTAGGTTAGGATAGGTTTAGGTTTTTGTAAATAAATTATTGAGTTTCTCTTTTCTATTTGTTATGTTTTTACCAGCAATGAGGCCTGCTTTACCATCACCACATAAAAAAAAGTACACAACGCAAGGTCCTAAATCCTACTAGCCAACTTCAACTGTCACCTATTACAAGAGTAACCGTGGTCTGATATGAATATAATATGAAACCTGGTAAACATCGTCGAATCATTGGTTTTCGGAACTGCAGTATTTACAAAGAGGGTTTGGTCACGCACATTGGAAATACTCGAATGATGGCTTAATTGTGTTTAAGAAAGTCGTTTTTAATACTTAACATCATGTTGTAAAATTGTTCATTTGATAATCAAGAAAACCAAACCAATGTTCTTGAGCGTCCGAAAACTATAACAAAGTGATATATACAGAACCGTTGTGTAATTTAAACTTAATAAATAGATCTACTAAACAGTTTAAATGAATTATTGTCAATAATTTTAAATGGCCATTTTGTTCATAGTGCCGTTTTGGAAGTGAACCGTATTTATCTGTCTAATCCAAAATGGCTGCGCTCACGGGCGCATGGCCTGTGACGAGACTGACCGTTCGCCTTAGACGCGGATTGCACACCGCACGGAAACTGCATCATCAACGATGTGTTCGGGTGAGATTTGCCCCAAGCCC